TAGCTTATCCAATCTGTTAAGTCCCTCAGGACTCTGGAATAGGAAGGAAAAGGATAAACCAGTCAAGAGGGAAAAGAGAATTAAACAACCAGAAACTACAGCGGAGTCACTTCAGCACTAGAATAAAGTGAAATGTCTTGAACTCCAGCTGCTGCAATACTTGGGGCCACCTAACTCCAGAAGATCTGTTCCTGTTCCTTCTGGAAGGCTTCTCCAGGTTCTTCTGGTTTCCATGAAGTCAGGTCATATGGCTGAGATTCCCATTCCTACACATCTCCAAATACACTGTAATGCTTCCTTGCAATTATTATTCGATTCACGGTTCACTGCAAGAAACTCACAGAGCTAGAAACCCAAGTGTCATCCTTGATTTCTCTCTCCACCATTCCATCAACTCCTATCAGTGTCACTTGAAAACATCACAAATAACGTTTGCTCTGCTCCACCCCACCACTGACCGAGTTCAGGTCCTTATTTCCTACAGAGACTTCTCAATGAGTTTGCTAGTTTCAGCCTTGTACTCCTTAAATCCATCTTCCAATTAGTTGTATAATATGACAAAAATGAAAATATGAACCAGTCACTTCCTGTTTAAAATCCTTTGATGAAAATAAATAAATAAATAAATAAATAAATAAAATCCTTTGATGATTCCTCCTGTCCTACAGATAAGATCTAAGCTCGGTAAAATATTCCGAAGGCCTCTCTCAATCTTTTCCCAGCTGCTACTTGTCACACACTCCTAAATTCCAACACTCCAAAAGTGCTTATAGATCCAAACATATACAGTAGTCTCACCTCTTAAGCTTTTAGTTACGCATTTTCACATGTAATGCCTAGCCCCCCTCCTCCTCTCCTATATCCTCCTCATCTTGCGGGCCCAATGCTGGCCTCAGCTCTCCCAAAAGCTGGCCCTGACTCACCAACTTCATCACTTCCAGCATCAGCCAGGGGTCGACGCTCCTCCTGTCCTCCACAGGACTGTTCAGAACTCTTCCCTCACTACACTTGTGTGTTTTACCTGCTTTGAACTCTCTGAATTTAAAGACAGTATCTTATCACCTTTGCATGGCCAGAACCTGGCACAAAGTAAACATTCACTAAAAGCTTGTCGAATAAATGCATGGAGAGCAAGGCATGTACACCAACTGTCCAGCAGACTACTTGCCCTACAGCAACAGCTCTGTGAATTATCATCACCACTACTTTTCCACAAATGTGATTATTAAATTTACATAATTCTTGCAACTACCAACTACCGGTTTTGGAGCTAAAATTTCCCATAATACTGGCAGAGATGGCAGGGAAAAGCTCGGTTTGGTTTTTCAATTCCTTGATTTTAAGGAACCTTTTTATATCGTTCCCCATAATTCCTAAAAAACGTTTGCATTGGTAGGCAAGCAAATATTGTCAAGATATTTGTTTAACCTTAAGAAGTGCAAAAAATTGGGGCACCTGGGTGGCTCAGTGGGTTAAAGCCTCTGCCTTCAGCTCAGGTCATGATCCCAGGGTCCTGGGATCGAGCCCCACATCGGGCTCTCTGCTCAGTGGGGAGCCTGCTTCCCTTCCTCTCTCTCTCTGCCTGCCTCTCTGCCTACTTGTGATCTCTGTTGAATAAATTAAAAAAAAAAAAAAAAAAGAAGTGCAAAAAATTCAGTAAGTGATTCAGTAAGTGTCAAAGGCCTGATGACTGGTGATACTGGAAGGGATGGGAGTGGGGAGCACGAGAAATGTCAGCTAACTGATTAGATGCCATTAATAATGCTTCAATTAAAAGTGCAATTCACTAGTTCATGGCTACCTATCATTTCCAACTTTCACTTCTGTTTCCTGTAAGCTGCCCTAAATCAGTAGAATCAAGGCACCTGGACTTATCTATTACCGAAAATTAAAACTCAATACAAACTGAAATAGGTAATACTCTATGGTAGGAAAGAGCACTAAATTTAGAGCTGGTGAAAATTAGTTTCCAACCCTGGCTTACTTGCGACTGGGAAAATCTAACCCTCAGGTGCTTCCACTTTCTCACATCTCAAATGAGAATACCACCTTCTTGTCCAAATCCACTAACACATTTGTGTGTATTAAAAAGCTTTGTAAAGTATCCAAATGTGATAACTTCACAAATAAGAAAAATGCAATCTGTAACTGAAACATTTAGGACTAATTGAATCCATTGTCATATGCATTAAAATGCTTTAAGTTGGAATAAAGTCCTCATTATAACTAAGTCTAAACTCGTCACATTTGTACTTATTCGAAGTTGACAATTTTAAAAAAGTAAAAGGGGCTATGCCTGAGTATTTCAACAGTTGGTGTGTGACTGCTAAGCAAAAGGTCGTCTTAAAAATTTTAACATATAGTATGCACACCCTGTTCTTCCTCTGCAATCCAATCAACTTTGACTGTATGTCTGGCATTGTTTAACATTAATCCTTTAGAATCATTTAAGGAACCATATGGCTTCCCAAAACAGCAATTCCAACTTAGAAGAATAACATCTTTAAAAACCGAGCATGTTCAGAGCAAAACCAAGATATTTCTATTTCAAAGGTAAGAACAAACCTTACCATTATGGAAAATAATTATCAATCTTTTCAAACTCTGTAACATGCAAAAAACATTTTATGAACAGTAGTTTTAATGTTAAAAATGTCTGAAAATGCTGAGGTAAAAATCAAATTGGCACTATGAAATGTTAAAATTCACTCTTATTTTGTGACTTCAAAGTTTTATTCTCCACTACCTATGACACTTCCCCTTTGCTCCCTTCCCCTATTACTGGGACAGAGTTGCCCAGTACTTTGGTGTGGTCCACTCAGAAGGCACACAGAACGACAACAGGAAAAAAAAAAAAAACAAAAACAAAACCCACACACATTAAAATAACAAGACAAGAGGAAGAGGCAGTAGAAGGGGGTTAAAGAACAGTGTTTGTGACAAGGGGGAAGGGAGAGACAAAGGGTAGATAGAAAAAAGGGAGAGAAAAGAAAAAAGATAACAAAATCTGTTCTTCCAGAAGTAATGCTTCATGTTTATAAAGCAGTGAAGTTTCCAGAAAGTGAATCTTAGTATTACACAACAAAAAGTAATAAAGAGGCCAACAGGAAAAATAATGGGAGGCAGCAGTGTCATAAATATTCCAAACTCCAACCAATTCCTCATAAGCATGAACTTTTCTCTGATCCAAATCATAATTTTATGTAAAAGGAGTTAATAAAACTAATCAAGGCATGTTACAGTGCTAAGAAAAAAAAACAAAAAAAAAACAAACAACTCATCACAAAACCTAGATCTCACGAAAATTCAGAGCTGGAAATTTCCTTACCATCCAGCTCAACTCTCATGTCTCAGAGGAAGAAACTGAGGCCCCATCCTGTAACATGCCTAAAATCACAGATGACTGCAGGACTCAGCAAAGCTAGGATTCTTTGTTCAAAAAATGTCCATACCTTCTGCCTCTGATTTTATAAGCTTATTATTAACCATCGACCATAAATTTAAGATAAAGTTTCGTCAAGTCTAACAAAAAGCCTTCCGGTAGCCAGATAAGAAGCAAACACTTCATAGCACAGCACTGTTCACACAAATTGGAACACAAAATTAAATAACAGCCTCCACAGAGTCTTAACAAAATGTCCTAACTTAAGAGGAAACAAAGGTCATTTTAGACCATTTAGATTAAGAAACAAAATATTTAAAACTGAAAGTACTCCTCTGGATCTATGGCTAAAAAGAAGGAATATTCCACAAGGCCTATTTTTGTGCGTGATTCTTTCCAGCCAAATCATCTGGTAGATTTCTGTCGCCATTCGCCTTTCTAATTAAATAGCACTTATTTATCAATGTTCTTGTCATATTTTAGTCTTGCATGCTTTAAGAATTTAACCATAAGAACTGTTTATATCCTCTACATCCCTGTCACTAGGATCTGATTAAGACCCTTCCTTTGTAGCCAATCAAAAGGAGGCTGCTTTGAATGTAAAAGCTCCTGCTTCAGGTTTGGGGCCTAAAAACTGGATTTGGTTCCAGACAGACTGACACATCAGACTGATTTTGTTTTCCCCCAGACAAGTAAACTTGACACATGCTATTATTTTGGACTACATTTCAAAAATTCTCAAAACTAATTTTATATAAAACTCATCTGTTTAAAGCTTTATTTTAACAGAGGAGAGGTAGGTGAGGGAGGAGGGGGACAAACACAAGCCTAAGGCTGCTTTTTGTTTTTGTTTTTAACTGCAGGTGTAAAACATAAGCCAATTTTCTTTAAAATGCTCTGTAACATTTTAAGATACCCGTTTCCAATCAGACTTTATATAACACCAGCACGTAAACACAGGGCATTTCCAATCAGTAGTGGTAGGTTTCTGCTCCCCTAAAAAAACACCTACTTCTGAGGTTCACCTCTTATCCTCCCAGTTGCTCTGAGTAAGAAACACTGATGCCAAACTTGGGGCCCTTGTCCTTTTGTCCCCCCAGACAATCTCTGGCCTGATTTTGAACAAAATCCTCCACTGATTACCCCTCCCCCTATATATCCCTGCTCTCCCTTAATTAGAAATCATACCTCAGAATCGTGCCTCTGTTCCCCCTACGTAAGAAGAGAACGCCTGACCCACCGCCACCTGGAGAACAATGTAACCCAACTCCGGGTCCATAGATTCCTCTATCCGAGCCCTAAGATTTATCTTCAGGGAATATCAGAAAGCGAGTTATGTCCTGTCATCCTGGATTCCCTCAAGGTGTCCTCCTCCTGGCCTAGGATTACCAGCTCCATTACACCTAGGAGCATTCTACTCACCTGCCTTCCCCAAGAACCTGGCCCCAGTCCCCGCGACCCAGGTCCCACCCTCGCAGCAGCGGAACGGGCGGCCAGTCACCTCGGAGGGCACGGGCCCCGGGCGGGAGGGGGTCGGGGGCGGGTCGAGAGTAGGCGGCAGCGGCGGGACACGTCGGGTCAGTGGCCCCACTCCCACCGCACGACACACGCCCAGTACCTTTGTAGTGCACCCGCAGGTTGTTCTGAGAGAGGCCGATGTAGCTGAACTTGTCCTTCGGGCTCCAGGATCGCGGCAGCGGCGTCTCCTGCTCGTCCACCGCCGGGTAGAGGCGCTTCAGCCGCCGCTGCAGCTCCTTCTCCTGCTCGTTCAGGGCCGAGTCCCCGTGCGGGAAGGGGGCCGCGGCGCTGCTGCCCGCCGCCAGGGTTGCGGCCGGGCCGCCTCCGGCCGGGCCGGGGCCCGCGGCGAGGCCCGGGCGCTGGGGGCGCGGTGGCGGGGGCGGCCGCCGAGGCGGGCGGCGGGGGCGGCGGGGGGGGCGGCGGCGGGGCCGCGGTGGGCTGGGGGCGGCGGCGGCGGCGGCGGGTGGAGGAGCAGGGCGGCCGCCGCGGCCCCCAAGCCGCCGCCGCCGCCCGCGCCGCCGCCGGGAGAGCCGGCCGGAGAGGAGCCGGCGCTGACGGCCGGGGGCGCCGGCAGGACGATTCCGGAGACGGGGGCCACGGCCGCCGGCGGTGGCGGCGGCAGCTGCTGCTGCTGTTGTTGTTGCGGCGGCGGCGGCGGCGGCGGCGGCTGCTGCCCGGACATCCCGGCCGCGACTCAGCCTGCGGCCACCTCCACCTCTTCTCTCCTTCCTCCTCTGCTTCCCGGGGGCGCTGTCGCTGCGGCCGCCGGCACCAGGCGCCCAGTCCGCCCGCCCCGGAAGCAGGCGGCGGGCCGCGCGCCGAGGGAGAGCGCGACGGTTGGGGGGCTCGGAGACGGGGGTGGGGAAGCGGGCGGCGGGCCGGGAGAGGCCCCGAGAGAACGTTGGCCGGGGTGCGGGCGCGGGCCCGGGACGAGGCGCCGAGGGCGGGGGCGAGGCGGGAGCGCGGGCGCAGAAGGCTCGGTGGCGGCCGCGGAGGCCGCTGCTCTCGCGGCTGTTTCCCGGCGGGCGGGCCGGGCCGGCGCGAGACGCTGCGCGCGGGCGGCGCTGGGCGAGGGGGCGGGGACGGAGGCGCGAGGGGCGGGGGCAGCGCGGGTGGCGGGGGGCGGGCCCGCGGGGGTCCCGGCGCGCGGGCCGCGAGGGCGGGGAGGGGGGCGAGGCGCGCGGCCGGAGCGGCGGAGCGCCCCTTCGGGGCGGGGCGTGAGGCTCCCGGCGCGGGGTCCCTCTGCCTGTCCCCGCCTCCTCCCGCGAGCCCGCCGCTGCCCCCCCCCCCAGCCCCCGCCTCCGGCCACCCGCCCCCCCGCCCGCCCGGGCCCTCCCGGGAGAATCTCCTCCTACTTTACTTCTTTTTGTTGTCGTCGCCCCACCTCCTCCCTCCCCGCCGCGGTAGGGTTCCCGCTGGAGCGGCGGTGCTGCTTCTCGCCCAGGCGAAAGTAATCGAGCCCGGCTGGGGCCGCCGCGAGCCCGGCCCGCGGGCGCCCGGGACGAACGGAGCGACTCGGCTCCGGGGGCCCGACGCAGACCGGGAGGTGAGCGGTCCCGAGAGCGCCCACGGGCTGCCCCGGCGCCGCTTGGCCGCGCTTGCCCCGGAGTAGGTTCCCTTTCGCCGCCTCCCTCTCTATTTCGCACCGAACTTAATACCCTAACATTTATCATATGGGGACAGGAAACCATTTCTGAAGGCAAAGTCTCCCACTTAAAATAGTGGTCATTCTATTAATTAATTTTATGAGGACTTAAAGTGAACTTGGAGTGGTAGAAGGCGCCACAGGAATACTAATAAAGACTGGCATATCTTCAAAGAGCAGGAACATAAACTGTATGAATACAAGATTGTGGTGTGCATTTAAGAAAGGGCTTCCAGAGACATTTTATAGACTCATTAATTTCATAACAGACCTCTTTGTTAGGTAGCAAAGAATTATGCACATTTTTAAAACAAGGAAATATTCACCGAGGTCAGCAGAGTCAAAAATAGGACTTCCTACTTTGCAATTCCCAATAGAGTGCTTCGCTTGGTCGACCAATTTGGCACAATTTGCCAAGTGTTGCTCTCTGACCCATCCTAGCATTACTATTTTGTTTTCACCACTTCCCTTTGTTTGGGTCATCCTTTCCTTAGCTGGCAAAATCGATCTTAACGCGTGTAAACTACATGCTATAAATTCTGCTATTTTGTTTGCTTCCAAAGATACCGTGATGGTAATTGGCCAAATAAGCAAGGAATGAATGGTTTGTTGAATAGAGAATTATTTATTTTGTCTTGAAGAGGCTAGGTAAATGATTTAATTGAAGGCCCCTAATGTGTGGCCAGAACTAATAAAGTCATTCAGTCTAATTTCTCCCTCAATTACCCAGACAACTCGATGCCCTGTTGTTCTTTAATAAAAATACCCGATAATGCTAACCTATTGTTTGGTGACTTTTTTCCAAGCCACTGCTCTTTAAATTACATGATGTCATTGTATTTAAATTGTTCTAAAACTTTCATTTTTATTACAGTAACAATGAGTTAAGTGTAAGCCAAACTCCTTTTAAATTTCGGCTAATCAAGGTTGAATTAATGGGCTCCAAGCCTCATCAAACTTTCTTGAAACAGTCAACAAGTTTTTATTTATGAAGATGTACTTTTCTGTGTCAACATGCTTGGAAACCGTTTAAAACCTTACATATTCTAGGAGCAGTTGAAAGAATGAAAGTATCTGACATTTTGTTAGAAGCTTTTTTTTTTTTTAAGGTTTTTTTCGTTATTTATTTGACAGACAGAGATCACAAGTACGCAGAGAGGCAGGCTCCCCACGGAGCAGAGAGCCAGGTGCAGGGCTCAATCCCAGGACCCTGAGATCATGACCTGAGCCAAAGGCAGAGGCTTTAACCCACTGAGCCACCCAGGCGCCCCCTTAGAAGCTTTTTAAAGGAGTATTTGGTTGCTCTCCAAATAAGCCACCTCAAGAAATTAATGCCTTCACTTTGGGGGGAGGATGCTGTGAAATGGCCACTCTTTCATACTAAATTTGGCAGGAAACATAGATAATGTCATTTTAGAAAGCCACGTACTTGATGATGCTTATAAAGAGACATAAAGATATTTGTGCCTTTTGACTTACTCCCACCGGAAAGTCAAGGCCAAGTAATAAATCTAAAATGTGGCAGAATCTCAGGCTAACAAGAACTAGATGAAATATGCAAGCAAACAAAATGTCCAGCAGGGGGGCTGTCTGGGTGGCTCAGTAGGTTAAGCCTCTGCCTTCAGCTCAGGTCCTGATCTCAGGGTTCTGGGATCAAGTCCCACATCAGGCTCTCTGCTAGGCAGGGAGCCTGCTTCCTCCTCTCTCTCTCTCTACTTGTGATCTCTCTCTCTCTGTCAAATAAATAAAATCTTAAAAAAAAAAAAATGTCCAGCAGGAAGAGCCTGGTTGAAGAAATTGTCATATAACCCACTCAAAAGAATTAGGAATACAGGAGCATATCTAGCACATTTGCTTGAGTTTTTTTTTTTTAAATGCATCCCTCTGGGCAGTGGAACTGCCAAAAGAAGGAGGCTGACCAATTAGAAAAAGGCGCTCCTTTCTCTTGATTTAGTCATTGGATATTGGGCCCAATTTCAGACCTCTTCTCTCTGGGCCTCTTACACAGGCCCAGTCTGAGATAAGTATTATATGGCTCCTTAAAAATATGGTTTTGAAAACACAGAAGAGAGATTATGATGCACTACATGGGAAATGCCTATACAGTAATTATACACTGCCAAAATTGTTACCAAAAAGATGTGAAGGGGAAGAAAAACCACAAAAATGTTTCTATAATGGGCAATCATAATATATCATTAAAAGTAAATTTTTTTGAAATATTATGAAAATATTTTTTAAATTTTTATGACAATATTAGACTTGTACATAGAGACATTTGTGGTAAAAATCCATTAGCCTTGGACTTGTACACAATCTTTTTGTACCTGTTTCCAGTTTTTCCCCTGTATCACTATAATAATCATATATATCTTTGCTATAATATTGATAGACATCTATCTGCTGAGGTTCTCGGTAAGAACCAATAGAAGCCAAACCTGGCTCTCTTAAGCAGAAGAAACTTACTGGAAAGATACTGGGTAGTTCTCAGAATTGACAACCAGGCCTAAAATCAAAGGCCAAAGGGGGTCAAGCAGCATAAATGTACTGGCCAGGACCCCACCGCTGGTCTCAGCAGCCACCATCTGATGCCACCTCTACCACCTAGCCTCTCGTCCTTGTGACCCCCAATCTTTTCATCACTCGCTCTATTTTCAAAGTTGGTGAAGCCTCGGTTGCGTGACGGTGCCAGGGGCTACTGTGAGCAGAGATTCCCAGCTTCTCCTATGGGTGGGTTATAGAGGTTCTGAGAGTGATGCCCTCAGCTCAGCGTAGGCCTGGAGTGCCTAGAGCCTGCAGAGCTGGTCTTTTCTGGCAGTGAGCAGCCTCCTGCATTCACAGAGTACTTTACACATCATATCCATTTTCTATGCATGGCATGACATGAAAAAGGTTAGAACACACTGCCCTAGTGGAAAAAGGCCACTGATGCCCATCGATGAGGATATCCCAGTACTAGGAAAGACAGACAGAGATCAGTAAATATCCATGACAGTAGCCTTTCTGAGTATGCTGTAAAGTGTGATGGCCAAGTATCCAAGATCTGGAGTATGACTTTAGGGTCTATATTAGTTATCTACCCCCAAACTTAGTAGCTTAAAATAACAGCATATCGCACAGTTTCTGAGGGGCAGGAATCTGGCCCAACTTAAGAGGGCCCTTTGCATTAGACATCTCCCCAAGCTGTCAGCTGGGCTGCCCTCATTCCAAGACTTTTCAATGCGGAAAGGATCTGCTCGCAAGCTCACTCCTCTGGTTATTGGCGGGATTCCGTTCCTTGAGGCCATTGGAGTCAGGGCCTCTGTTCCTTGCTGGCTATTGGCCAGAAGTGGCCTTCAGTCCCTTGGCCCTTGGGCGCCTCCAACAAAAACAGCTTGTGTCATCAAAGTGTGTCAGCCAAGACAGCAATACCAGCAGGACAAAAGTCAGTCTTTTGTAGCCTCATCAAAGAAGTGCCATCCCATCATGTTTACCCTCATCTATTTGTTCAAAAGGAAATCTACTAAGTAAGTCACTCTAGGTCACTAGGTCCAGCCCACATTCAAGGGGAGGGGATGATACTAGAGGATGAACAGAGACTTCAGAGTCCAAGGCGAGGTCAACAAAATCTAATGAGATTTTGCATCCTATCTAACCTGGCCAGGGAGGTCTATCTTGCTGACTATGACCACAAACCCAGAGATAGGATTCTTGGGGCTTGGGTTCAGGGTGAAAAGGATCTGCATAATCACATGAAATAATACAAATGCATTATTTCATATTCATGAGTGAATAAAAGGAGCTATAATTCAATGTTCATTCATAAAATAAACGTGAACCCAGAAGTTATTAAATTTAGAGGAAACTCCATGTTTTATTAATCAGTTCTAGAAGAATTTGAACAAAAACTGCAATTCTGGCTTAAAGAACCCGAGCTAACAAGTTAATCTACCATCAATCTGATCTTCCTCTTACTTTTTCCTTCTGCTTTTTCTAGTCTACTGTAACTCCTCTTTCATCTGTCAAAAGTCGTATTTTTTCTTCCATATGGATCTCTAGGTCCCTCTTTGTTTCCTCAGTGCCATGAAAAGTACATACAAAATGGAGTAACAGCAGGGAGCCGA